CCGCCAGATTTCCTGGGCACGCCCATTGACATTTCCACTTTAGCTTTGGTGGTGCCAGATCTTAAACCCTCTCATCAGTCCCTTGTTCTCATTGGAACTAACACTTTGGACATTGTCTATGCTGTCCATAGCCAACAAAGTCCTGGTTTTCGACCTGTTCCTTTTGGTTACCGCACTGTACTCAATATTTTAGAACAAAGACACAAATCCAATCAGAAAGAACATCATGGACTGGTGAAACTTCATAGCCACACTGCACAAACGGTACCTGCCGGGCAGACCATGGTGTTAGAAGGCATTGCTGTGTCACACTTAATCACTAATGAAAAAGCAGTAATGATTGAACACCCTACATCCTTTTACTTACCTGGTGGTCTAATGATCCAGACTTGTCTTGTTGATTTTCCAACCCAGCAGCACCCCGTTTTCTTGCCAGTTCCTGTCACAAATGAATCCAACCATGATGTTACCTTACCTCCTCGTGCTTTGCTTGCCGAAATCAGTGTGTTTTCCAGTCAACTGCTTGTGCCATCCAAACCAACTCACAAACGACAAACACCTCACCTACACCGTTGTTTGATTATAAGTTGGACAACCCTGCACTCACACCTGAATGGAAAGCCAGAATCATCAATAAACTCAATAGCATCCCTGAGGTCTTTGCTAAACATGACTTGGATTTTGGCAGAACTGACAGGGTAAAGCATCAAATAAAGCTTACTGACCCCACACCGTTTAAACAGAGACCACGACCCATACACCCACAAGATCTTGACGCAGTTCGGCAACATCTTCAAGAGTTGTTTGATTCTAAAGTCATCAGAGAATCCGACTCACCTTTTGCTTCACCCATTGTGGTGGTAAGAAAAAAGAACGGAAGCGTCAGGCTCTGTATAGATTACCGGAAGCTCAACTTACAGACCATAAAGGATGCTTATGCACTTCCTAAGCTTGAGGACACGTTCACCGCACTTTCAGGGTCCCAGTGGTTCTCAGTTTTGGACTTAAAATCTGGATATTATCAGATAGAGATGGAAGAACAGGATAAGTGCAAAACTGCTTTTGTGTGCCCACTTGGGTTCTGGGAATTTAACCGGATGCCCCAAGGAGTTACCAATGCTCCGTCTACGTTTCAGCGCTTGATGGAAAAGTGTGTCGGTGAAATGAATCTAAAAGAGGTGCTCGTCTTTATAGATGACCTAATTGTTTTTGCGCCTACTTTGGAGCAACATGAGGAGCGACTCATGAGAGTTCTTAACCGCCTTAAGGATTTTGGCTTAAAGCTCTCTGTTGAAAAGTGCACCTTCTTTCAGAACTCCGTACGCTACCTTGGACATGTTGTGTCCCAGAATGGGGTTGAGACAGATCCAGAAAAGTTACAGGCATTAAGATCATGGCCTGTCCCAAAGAATCTGAAAGAATTGCGATCATTTCTCGGATTTTGTGGTTATTACCGAAGATTTGTTCAAGGATATTCCAAAATCGTACAACCATTACACCAACTAACATCTGGATACCCACCTTCGCAGAAAACAAAAAAGCCATTTGTGAGACCTGAAAACTATTTCAATCCAAAAGACCCATTGGGGAACCGCTGGACATCTTCCTGTCAACAAGCATTCGAAACAATAAAAGAAAAACTTACCTCCGCACCCGTTCTCGCCTTTGCTGATCTATCAAAACCTTACCTTTTACATACAGATGCTAGTTCAACAGGACTAGGTGCCATATTATATCAAGAACAAGACGGAAAAGAACGAGTGATTGCTTATGCCAGCAGGGGCCTATCCCGTAGTGAGTCCAAATATCCAGCCCACAAGCTTGAATTTCTTGCCCTGAAGTGGGCAGTTACAGAAAAATTCAGCGACTATCTATATGGCACTACTTTCACCATTGTAACCGACAGCAATCCCTTAACCTACTTACTCACTTCGGCAAAACTTGATGCTACAGGCTATCGCTGGTTGTCTGCTCTGTCCACCTACTCATTTAAAATCATTTACCGGACAGGCCGGCAAAATGTGGATGCGGATGGTCTTTCCCGCAGACCTCATGGTGACCTCAAAGCAGACTTTGTATCAGAGAAAGAAAAGGAAAGAATACTCCGATTCGCTGAGCAGCATCTTGAAAGTCCTAATGTCATAAACATAGACCAATGTACCGTCCGAGCACTTTCAGAGAGACAGCTAGTCTGTAAGTGCTCCTGATTACGCCCTTATCCATTCTTTGTCCATGTCCACCAACAGTATTCCAGACAGTTACTCTGAAGACGAACAGTTTGCCTTACCTCTGGTTCCTCAGCTGAGTCCAGCTGAGATGGCTAAAAAACAACGTGCTGACCCAATTCTGAGCCACGTCATATCACAGTTGGAAACTGGCATATCACCACCCCCTCTCTTGAGAGAACAGTTACCAGAGCTGCCACTTCTTCTACGGGGACCTAAATCGATTGGAGCTCCAAAATAATGTCCTAGTTCGAAGGAGGCAACTTGGCGACCAGCTACATTACCAACTTGTGCTACCCCCAGGAGTGTCGCACGGATGTTCTTTTTCAACTTGCATGACAAGATGGGGCACATGGGCATTGATCGAACCTTGGATTTGGCGAGGAACCGATTCTACTGGCCTCGCATGGCTCATGATGTCCAAGCCAAAGTTAAGATGTGTGAAAGGTGCGTAAAACGCAAAGCACCGCCACAGAAAGCTGCACCACTGATCAACATCAAAAACCTCACATCCCCTTGAACTCATCTGTATTGATTTCCTGACTCTTGAACCAGACAAAAGCAACGTCAAAGATATTTTGGTCATCACTGATCACTTCACCAAATATGCCCTTGCCATACCCCACCCCAAATCAAAAAGCTAAAACAGTTGCAAAAGCTCTCTGGGACAATTTTTTTGTACATTACGGTTTCCCTGAAAAAATACACAGCGATCAAGGACCAGATTTTGAATCCAAAACAATCAAAGAACTCTGTACACTGGCTGGAATCACCAAAACCAGAACAACTCCATATCACCCACGCAGCAATCCAGTTGAAAGATTTAATCGAACTTTACTTGACATGCTCGGAACCCTAACAGTACAAGAAAAAACCCACTGGAAGGACTTTGTAAAGCCACTTGTCCATGCGTACAATTGTACACAAAATGATACCACCGGCTTCACACCATACGAGTTAATGTTTGGTCGACAACCACGACTTCCAATAGACCTTGTTTTCGGTTTACCAGTCATCAAACCTTCCTTGAATCACTCAGAATATGTCCAAAAACTGAAATCTACATTGAAAAAGAGCTACCAACTGGCAGCTGAAAATGCAGAAAAAAATCATGCAAAAAAACAAAACACGTTTTGATACAAACATCAAAGCATCTACACTCGATGTTGGGGATCGTGTTCTTGTGCGAAATGTCAAGTTGAGGGGGAAACACAAAATCGCGGATAAATGGGAGTCTCAGGTGTATGTGGTGGTAAAGAAGTCAGGCAACTTACCAGTTTATACTGTGAAACCTGAGGATGCAGAAAAGCCACTAAGAACTCTGCATCGAGACTTGCTTTTACCTTGTGGCTGCATACCTGTTACCTCCAATGTACAGCCTGTGCCTGTGGCAAAACCTGTAACACCTCCTTTACCACCTGAAGATTCTGACATTGATCATTCCTCTGACGATGAACAGATTGCAAGATGGTACCCTGAACCTGTTACTGAACCAGTTCGATTTTCTACCACTGTGACACTTCCCAGTTCACCTGAAATCTTTGCTCCAACCAGTTCCGAAAATCTTGATCCGCAACCACCTGAAACATTAGAACACGAACCTCTAGGAAGCCCTGAACCTGCTTTGTTGCCAGAACTGTCTATACATTCCGATCCGGTGCATGACATTGATGAGGCTGCTCAACCTGAACCTGAAATTGACAGCAGCTTACACGAACCTAACTCTGACTTGTCATCACCTGTCGACGAAACAGAACAACGTCCCACTAGAACCAGACGACCACCAGACAGATTTCAATATCAGCAATTGGGCCAGCCAATTCTGAAAAGCATGCAAACGATCTTCGAAGGACTTGGAAAGGCTCTGTTTCTGGCAGTGACAGATCACGACATCTCGTCCTCTGGCCAACCATCAGCCCATGTACAGGGACGTACATGAGGTCAGGGGGGGACCCTGTAGCCCACGTCTCATATACTGCCCATTCAATCACTCTGCCATCCAATACCATCATTTCACTCGCTCTGCCACAAGAGGCGCTGTGTTTAAATGTCGCCGCGGCATCTTGTCACTCACTTCCTGCTCCGGCTTGGACTGGCAGAAACGACAGAAACACCGCTCAATAAACTCATCAAATCACAACTGAAAATTGCCAAACTCAATGGTGAGTCAACTAAAGACTTTATTTACAAGACCGCATTGTCCGATGTAACGAAAGAAGCCTCAAAAAAGTTTAATGAAATAAAAACGGCACTTCCGCATTTGCCGCGACGAACTTTTCAGTTGTTTGTTGTCCCAAACTTTATAATATTGCATTATCAAGTAATATTATTTAAGTCTACTTCAAGTAGATAGATTAATTTATGAACTGTATGAAGGAAAGCTCGATTGATTATTTTGATTACGAGTTTTTTAAGTTAATAAGGGCTAATGAGTGTGCTCCATTCATCTAATTGGCTGCCAGCCCTGTCACTCAACGCACTGAGTCACATTTGGGTAAAAAGAATGAATTATGGAGTTTTTTATTATTATATTGTTGCGCAACTATAAACTATGAACTATGAACTATGAATTATAATTTATGAAATGTGAATTATGAATTCATGAACAATGAAATATTAAGTTTGAAATATGATTTATGAACAATGAATTATGAAATATTAAGTTTGATTAATTGATGGAATGAAATGATAAAATTAGCTAATTTGTATATTTGAATATTGAATAATGAATTGTGTCAAACTATTTATGGGTTTTTTCCTGTGACCTCTGTTTTATAGGTCAGGTTTTTTTCCCCCTCCCAAAATCAATGATTCCTCTACTCCAGAGGTGGCGAGCTATATCTGAACCTACAGACCTGGTAGGATTGTTTTTTTTCCCCTCCTCCCTTCTCCTCCTAAGTTGGATTATGAACTTTTAAAACAAAAGGAATAAACATTTGCGTTTCGTTTTGCATCTCCAAACAAAGGAATGAACATTTGCGTTTGCGTTTGCGTCTCCACAAGCATTGAACTTTTTGCGTTTGCGTTCCCAAGGAAACTTTAAAAAAAAAAAGGATTTCGAAGTAAAAAACTGAGAGAAACCAAGGATTTGCGTTCAGACAAAAGAACAAAGCAAAGGACATTTAAAAAGAAGTCTTATTTGTGTTATTGTGTGGTCTTTTGCCACAATTTTTGTTATTCATTGTACAATATTAATATAATTATCTTTAAATCAGATCTATTTGTGTTGTTTTCTGTCATCTATCACAAGCTCCTCCTCAAATCTGGTTCTTCTGTTTACATTACATCCATTGCACATCTCACTAGTCTTAACACATAAAATAAAAATAATAACGTGTTCAGTGGCGTTGGTGATGTTGGTGGCAAAAGAGGCGTCCTATAAATCTCAAGATTGTACAAGCCACAATGAAGATTAATCAAGACATCAGTAAAAATAACTTTTTATTGACTACACAAGGGAGTGGAGTGATAATGATATATCCCGATACTAAAACAATAGATTATATTTTGAGATTTATCAATAATTACTTCTAATATTACGGTCAAACTACACCTTCAAGAGAACACAATTGTATGAAATAATTTATTGTTATGATTATTTTAATTGTGAGAACAGTGACTGTAACTTTTGAATTTTTGTGAGAAATATTTTTAAAATTTATCTGGACCTGTTTTCAGTTTAACCGTTTTGAATTGTGCAATGAAGTATCACGATATATCACTGAATTTTTTTCTTACACCCTTACTTCATACACAATGATCAGTTTGGAGCTTTTTAATCGGGAGGTCTACAGCCGTCTATGGTAGAGTGGAGTTCAGAATTTGAAGTCTTGGCAAATTTCAAGTCAGGAAGCTTATTATTAAAAGCCATATCTAGGCTAAGTGTTTTTCAATAAGACAAAATAAATAAATTTAACTGGAAATTGCAATCATACAATTCAAGAAAAAAAACTCCCTATCTGTGAACCTGACAACAATGCAAGTTAGATTTAACGTGCAGAGTAAATCTTTGTAAATGCCTTAAGAATAATGGTGTGTAGGGGTGGAACGAGATACAGTTTTCACAAGATTGGATCTACAAGAACGACACAAGATCAGATTTTGACATTATTTAGTCTATAATAAATACATTGTGCAATCAGTCTCCAATTTTAGCCTCACAATTTGTGATTTATTTTACTGTGTTCCATCCCTCATGGTGTGTTGTTGTATACAGAAGGTAATAGCAGTGGTGAAGTGGGTTGAACGATTACACACTAACCAGAGGGTTGCAGGTTCAATCCTCATGAGGACCTTACACTAATTAAATATGTTCAGGTTAAATCAGATCCATCCATTTTGAGAAGATTTGTTATGTGTTTATTTATGTTTTAAGAGGAGGAAAAAAATTGTATTTTCAGTGTGTACTCAAGTATCAGTTTACTTTAGTATCGGTTCATACTGGAAATAAAGTATTCCTGTACCTGTACTCCTTGCACTGGCTCCCTGTCCAGTTCAGAATTCATTTAAAATTTTTGATGTTTGTTTTTAATGCAGTCAATGGTCTTGCACCTTCCTATTTGTGTGAGATTTTGACCCCTCTCCAACCCAGTAGAGCTCTACGATCTGCTGGGCAACATCTGCTGGAGGTTCCCCCGGTGCCGGTGTAAACAGTGGGGTGACCGTTCTTTTGCAGTGGCCGGTCCAAAACTCTGGAACTCTCTGCCCATTGAGTTAAGGTCCATCCCTGACCTGCCTCTGTTCAAAGCCAAACTTACAACATATTTATTTAGAATGGCTTTTAACACTTAGTGGCCCTGTGACACTTTCTTTATTTTGTTTGTATGATGTTTGTTGTTTTTTATCTTGTTTTAATGATGTACAGCACTTTGGTCGGTGTTACGGCCCCTGGCCTTAGGTCTAATTTGTTTGTGTGATTGTTGCCGACTACTCTGATTCCTGCTGCAGGAGCCCTGGTCCGTGATTGGTGGGGCAGGTCGACGCCCACCTCACCTGCAGCCACCTCCCCCTATTTAAGGAGATTACCAGCACCTGTTCGGGGCTGCTGGCCTTGGTGGCCAGTCTGCCATTTTGTTTTGTGTGTGTGTGTAGTTTAGTTTAGTTCTGTTTTGTGCCTTTTTTGATTTGGTCCCTCGATTCTGTTTGTGGGTTTATGTGGTTTAATTTGGGGAACTTGTGTTGTAGTTTAGTGTGTGTCCCTAAGTTTTACCACTCGTTTTTTTGTAAGCCTGCGTGACCCCTTTTCTGGCACAAAACTCTGTTTATTCTGTTGTTCTGTTTCTTAGTTTAGGTTGTTTTCTGTATATTTTTAGTCTTTTGTTAATTTACCTTTACATTCCTGTTAATTAAACATTATTTAATTTATTCCATTTTACATCTTGGTTTTACTTTTGTTACTTCCCTCACCCCAAACGAGCTGGGTCGTAACAGTCGGCTTTGGTCGTTGGAAGGTGCTATAGAAATAAAGTTTGATTGATTGAAAAGTAAACATTAGTTCACAGTATCAGAGCTGAACAAGTTTGATTGTCACATTTCTAACCAGACCCCAGTTTTGAATCAGATTTTCTATAGACTCTTTTCACTCTTACGTCACAAACCTGGAAAACGTTTGGAAACATGAGGACAATAACTTCCTTTGGGCTCTGTTGGCAATGGCGGGGCTGTCATTGTATTCTTTCTTTTTTTCCTTTTATAAACTGCTTATTAGGGATGGGCATGATTAATCGATAATTGATCATTAAGAAATTCATCGATTACGTTAATTTTAATCGACAAATGTAGGTTGCTGTGTGTAGTGTGACCAAACAGGGGTCTGTACATGTGTCTCTCTGCACTCAGAAGGAGCGAGACACAAACAGTCGATCAGCCTGCAACGTAACGAAGCACAAATGCGTATTTAACGATGATTTGTACAAGAAATTCCACGCTTTCCGTTGCGTTCGGGACAAGTGTGAGTCCATGTGCACAGTGAACAAAGCAGGAACATATGTTTCAGTGTCCAGTGGGAAAAAGTTTTGCCAAGTGAGAGTCGCGCAATGTCGATGACGAGTCTCCACCTCCCACCCCCGTACGGTGTCCTGGTTTTGACAAACGCAAATATGGTCACACTAACCTGTATTCCACTGAGTCATGTCTTTTAATCTGACAGAAATTGACCGCATCAGCGACACAAGAGCTGCAGTTTTATCTTCGCTGAGTTTATGCAAATTAGCGATGTGGTTTTAAGTTTCGTTTCTGTGAGAGTTGCGCAAAACTGAATTAAACACATTATAATGTCAAACGGATCGATGTGGCTCTAGAGTGGTTACGGTTTATATGTCGTAAAGTTGAATTTATTTATGCAGATTAGTAGTGCAGATAGTAATAATAATGATGATCATTTTAATATAAAAACGTTAATGATTAATCGATAATCGATCGTTAATTCTTCCGACGATCGATTAAGAAAATTTCATCGAATGCCCATCCCTACTGCTTATCAATTTGTGTTTTATAACGCGCCCATTGCTCAGTGTCGGTAACTACACCAAACGTTTTCGGGTGAGCGTGAATAGAGCTTATTGTAACGAAACTAAACCAAGCGCGCGGTCCAGACGGCGCCGAGTGAAGTGTCCGTAGCTTCATGCATTGTCCCTGTTAGCGTGTGTGTGTGTGTGTGTGTGTGTGTGTCTGGCCCCTGAACGTTTGTGCCGTGTGTGAGTGAGGGGACGAGGTGAAGAGCAGCAGATGGAACAGCACACGCTCTCCACACACAAGACACACAGTCACCTTGGTCTGCAGCAGGACACACGAGCAGAAAAGAAAGGAGAGGAGGGAGAGAGGGAGGAAGAAGAGAGGGATAATATATGTGGAAGAAAAGAGAGAGGGAGAAAATTGGGAGGGAGAAAGAGGTTGGAGGAGGGCAGTGAGAATAGGACAAGAGAGGGACAAATGGGGAAGAAACGAGAGAGGGGGAGGCAGGTGAGTAAAGTGGAGGGAGAGAGAAGGAGAAGAGAGGGAAGAAATATGGAAACAAACTGGGAGGAAGGAGGGGCAAAGAAAGAAGGACAATAGGGGGAGGAGAGTGGGAGGAAACAGGAGAGAGAGAAGGAAGTGAAGCAAGGAAGGAAGATGAGAAAGAGAAGAGGACAAGAGAGGTAGAAAATAAGACAACAGAGAGGGAGGAGATATTTAGAGAGAGGAAAAAGAGGTTGAGAGGGAGGAGAGCAGGAGAGAGAAAAAGGAAAGAAAGAGGAAAAAAGAGCAGGAAGAGCAAAGAAAGCAAGAAGAAAGAGCAGGAAGAGGAAAGAAAGAAGGAGAGAAGATGGGGAGAGAGAGGAAAAGGAGGACAAGAGAGGGAGGAGAGAGAGAGGAAACAGGAGTGAGAAGGAAGGAAAGAAGAGGACAAGAGAGGTAGAAAATAAACAGAGAGGGAGGGGAGATGGTAAAGAGGAAAAGGAGGACAAGCGGGAGGAGAGCAGGAGGGAAAACGAGAGAGAGGAGGAAGAGAGAAGGAGGAAGGAGCGACAGGAAGAGGAAAGAGAGAGGGAGGAAACATGAGAGAGAAAAAAGGACAAGAGAGGTAGAAAATAAGGCAACGGAGAGGAAAGAGAGAGAGAGGAAAAGGAAGATGAGATGGAGGAGAGCAGGAGAGAGAGGTAGAGAGAGAGAGAAAGAGGAAAGAAAGAGAGAGAGAGCAGGAAGTGGAAAGGGAGAGAGACCAGAAAGAGACGAGAGAGAGAGAGACAGAGAGAAAGAAGGAAGGGAAAATGAATGAAAGAGGAAAGAGAAAGGAAGGGAAGATGGAGAGAGAAGAGGACAAGAGAGGTAGAAAAAGAGAGGGAAGGGAGATGGGGAGAGAGAGAAAAGGGGATTAGAGATGGAGTAGAGACAGGAAGAGGAGAGAGAGAAGAGGACGAGATAGCGAGAGAGGAAAAGGAGGACAAGAAAGGGAGGAGAGCAGGAAGCGGAAAGAGAGAGGGAGGGGAAATAAAGAAAAGAGGACAAGAGAAGTACAAAATAAGACAACAGAGACGGAGAGGAGCTGGGGAGAGAGAGAGAAATCCGGATGAGAGGGAGGAGAACCAAGAAGATGAGCGGGAAGACGACAACAAACTTAAAAACTTGATGACGTCACAACTTCATGACATCACAAGGTAGAACAGAGCATTTTGAGCTTTGGACATGATTATTCAAACTGTAAAACATGGCTTTTACAGCTCAATAATCACTTTAGC